CCACAGTGCTGGCATTGTACTAGTTCACTGAAGACCGTGTGTGTTTGGTGAAACTGGCAAGGTTGTAAGCTCATCCTGATCCTATAATTAGTCCGATTAACTAAATAGCTGTTTGCTGGCTCTTTACGCACTCTCTACGCACACACACACACACACACACATACACACATAGAGTTTGATATGTGACTGCCGTCAGGTGCCCTCAGAGCAAAGCCTCTGATCGTGGAGCTCCGAGCTGTCTGCACCTCCTACATGCTGGAATTTTCTTGATAGTGTGGAAAGTTCTCAGGCAACAGCAGGAGACTTTAGTCTTGGTTGTCACAGAGCTGCTGTAGCTTTAGTTTAATCCTCAGTGTGTATTTTATATTGTTCCAATCTTGTTTTGAGTCCAGTTGCCCCATTTTGCAACAGAACTTACTTTACTGTAGTTATTTTATTTCTTTTTTTATTCAGGTTCTGATTCAGAGCTTGTCTGTTGTTAACAGTGATGAGTTAGCAGTTAGTCTATTAGTTTTTAGTTCTGATTTGATGGTGTAAATCCTTTGTTTGTATAAATGTATATTTGTTAAATAGTAATGTTAATTGAACTGTCCTTATTTTTCTGCAGATTAAAAATAATACCCCAGAAATTGTATTGGCCTGGTAGAAGTGAGTGTAGTATCTATGACCTTCTTTGTAGTGGCCCCACAAATCAGATGTTTTACCATCATTTTGAGTCTCTTCAGTGGAAGCTTGAGTGGGTGTTGCTTCATGTACGTCATGATTTATCTACTAAATCACATTCTACTTTTATTGATAGGCCAGCTTTTCCACCTCAACCAAACCGCTTCACCTGAGTTCAGGTTGCAGTGGCAATCAGGGCTCCTCTATGAGCTCCACTGCTTTGTGCCTGGGCATGAGGCAGTTATCTGTTCTAGCACCCCTATTCTCTGGAGGAACCAGCTGTGTTCTCTCTCTTTGTTTTTTGACTCTCCACAGGTTGCTCTTTCTCCCCTGTTCCCAGGAGATTTGCATGACACCTGCTGAGCCTAAATGGTGGATTCTATTCTTTTGCACAGCAACAACAATTTCCATTCATCCATCTGTTTAGGAAGCTGTTATCAAGCCTGCGTGTGGCTGTAAACACACTAGAACTGCTTTACTAAACAAGGATATCGTTGCACCTCATATCATACTAACATTTCCTTTTTTATGTCCTGTATTAACAGGTATTGTTTCAGGGCTCAGAGCAGAATGAACCTTCCATATCTTTTGGAATGTTCAACTGATTGGCTCATGCAGTGGATGTTCCTGAGATGTTGTCAGTCCATAGTGCAACCCTCTCCCCTTTTCCTTTCATGCTCCTGCTGTCATCCACCTTTCCCCATTGGCAGCATCACATATCAGTTGTGTTATGATAGCAGTGCTGTCAGAGGAGGAAGGACTGATGAAATAAAACAGGAGAGAGCATCACTTCTTTGTAAATAACCTCTTTCAGCCTCATACACCTTACTGACTCTAGCTGTTGTTGGACTCTCTTGCACTGTTGCATGTGCCACGCACACAGAGACTCTATTTTTAGATGCATGGCGAAATATTGGAGCATACTGAGGACAGGTGCAGTCACCAGTGCCTGTTCTAACCACAGCTTATTCAGGCTTATTACTCCAGCTCAGCTCCTCTGATGAAAAAATCTGTGTAGATCTTATGTTCGCAGTCAGTGTAGCAGGAGAGCCTTGTGGCTTTTATGGATAAAACCTGCATGAAATGGGGTGCGTTTTATCTTTATCACAATGTTATTGCAATAAAAGTTTTACCTCCTTTTGTTACACATTTTGCCCATTACTGTAATAAAAATAAACTCATGCACTAGGGATGTGGACAGGTAGGAGGTCTTATGTTTCTTACAGAGGAAAAAAAAATGGGACTCACTGGTTTGAATAATTTATCAGGCAAAATATTTGCTTGTTCCAGTTTTGCCAGATGTTCCTGCTTTCATTGTAAACTGAATATTCTTGAGTTACGGATTTTTGGTCACAAAAAATAAGGAAACCGATGACAGCAAAGAGTCCTATAGATAATACAAGATAAAAAAAATCTTTGAAAAACATTAAATCTCATAAAAGCCCTTACATGTTGGCCAGTATAAACCATGCACATAGGTGTGTTAGGTACATGGTCATGTGGCCATAGGCCAATCACAGGGGTCAAACTGATAGAGGAGCACCAGGTGTGTCTAATAATTGGCACAGGTGACACCACATCTGATTAAGGTGTAAGTAAAAGCACACCCAGGGTAGAGTAATAGCTGTACCCAGCAAGCACTCGGCAATCGAAGCAATCCACAAAACACCACGTGCCTCCCCAATCACAGTCGGATTATTTATAGGACTCTTTGTTGTGTGCTTTTAACACACTCTGATGAAGGCTTCATGCTGAAACTCGCTAGTCTTTTTATTCAAGTTTGCTCAAAACACTGTAAATGTTGCTGGACTTTTTGCTTTCCACTTATTAAATATTTACCAAAGCAAAAATGTCTTATTTATACGTCAGATGTCTGCGTGCTCTTATTTTGTTTTTATTGCTCTGAAGGCTGAAATAGCAGCCATAAAATCTGACATTGTTGAGTTCCATTTAAATTTAGCAGCCATTAAAGTCAAGCTGTGTTTGTGGGCTTTTAAATGTGTATACAAGCACATAAATATGGAATATATATGTGCTATTAGTAAAGGAGAGGAGAGGGAGATAAATGGCAAGTTTGCATGACCAGAATTTAAATAAGAGTCCACTGATGTTGGTTTAACACTGAGTAAACAAACAACAACCTAATCAACCTAATTGACTGACAAATAATGCTTCGTTTCAGCATGTGTGGTTGATGGCAGATGAGGGACAGCGCCAGGCCATGTGTGCTAAAAGCTGAGGGGGCGTGTAATGCAGCAGGGGATGACTTTTGGTCTGAATAGGCATGTGAAACAGATGTAGTGTCCTGTGCTGCAAATAGGGGGCATTGTAGGACCTGAGAATCTGGAGGGATCCAAGAGGAAAAGGGATCTCAGTGTGATAAGTCCCCACCGCCACAGCCGCGCTCCAGTGGTCGCTCTCTCTCCCTCACAGCAGCACAGGCACTCTCCACTCCCCACTGTTTACTGCTCTCTCACACATGCTCTCTTTGCCTCGCTGTTTCTCAGCCACTCGCTCTGCTGCGCTCTCCTGTTTCATCCCTCCACCTCGGAGTACAGACAGAGGTGATCTGGCTCCCGGTTTGGCTGGCAGTGGCTAGATTGGGGCAAACAGAGACAGAGTTGGAAGCCTGAGGGACAGTACAGGACCGGGAGATTCAAGTGGGAAAGATCTGGCACAACATTTCCATCAGCGGAGATTATTTGCATCACAAAACCTGTGGAAAGAGGACTCTGACACTTTACCGGCTACACAACCGCTGTCCGCGCAAGAGGTGCCATTTAATGTGTCAAAGTGTGTGTGTGTGTGTGTGTGTGTGTGTGTGTGTGTGATTCTGAGTCTGCTCACCTTTTCAGTATGCAGATTCATTGGCTTGGCTTCTTTTCTCATGCAAATGTGAATTGGCTGCTCCACGTCTCTGACAGAAACACAGATGGAGCAGGTCTCAGTAATTCAAGGTTTGCATGGTTATAATACAGTGCTCCATGAATTTGTTCAGCTCTGATGGCTTAGTGCATGTTTGTGTGTGTGTAAATGTTACGAGAACACAGACTTAAAGAACCAGAATGTGCTAAATAATAGATCTCCCCAATATGACAGAAAACTTCCGAAGTAGGCTACCCTTGGATTAACGTGCCACTCATCATATTTCACACAATTTCATCCACCTTTTTCACTGAACGCTCTCAGTCAGTTGCATGTGTATTATTGTTTAGATGCGTCTGTCAGTATGTGGATGTTGTTGACATATACATTCTCAAACATATCATACTTGGATGTCATTGCCTCAGGATCTCAGAGGGAAGAAGGAGGGCGGGAGCTAAATGCTATGTGGCACCGGGCCAAGTTGCTGCTTTAAAGAGGTTGTTGAAGGTTAGATGAATGTCTTTTCAGCCTGTGTACCCACTCCGTCTGTCTCTCAGCTTCTTTACTTCTCAGCAGAAGAGTAACAAGAATGACAAGTGTGTTGGTTAAAGCAGCACCATGAGGAATCCCCTAAATAGCGTCAGTTGAGGAGCCCCTCTTCCTCTCATCCATCCTGTTCTGCCTCCATTTGAAATGTGATTATATGAGTGGGTCGGAGTAGATAGATGGAGTATTTGCTGGGGGGGGTTGATGCTTCTTTTAGCTTGCTCTCCCCCTTTCTACACCCCGATGGGATTTGTCCTTGCCTTCCATCTTTTTATCCCCTCCCTCCATTTCTCTGTCTCCTTCCATCACTTTTATTTTATCTTGTGTCCTGCTGAGCCAGTGAGATTTACTGGTATAAAGTGGAAGTCCATTCACACAACTGGGGGACTGCTGGAGAGGAAATATGGGGATGGGGGAGAGAAATGGTGAAGGAGAGAAAAATGGAAGTTAAAACAGCCCCCTGGGGGTGGAGATTCGCTGGTGATTTATGTGTAGACATTTCTCCACAGTGTCTGGTCACTGCTCCAATTAACACCTGCACCAATCTGTAGCTGCACTTGAATCTGAGAGAGTGCAGAGTGCATTGGTTAGTGCTGGACGTGCGTGTTTGTAGGGATATAGCAAATTCACATTGTTTGCAGTGGTTTTCATAGATTTCTGGGTCATTTGTCGCTGCAGTGTTTGGTGCTTCCTCTGCATGCACGTTTGGAAACTGCCCAGAAAGCAGCGTGAGGCCAGCACTTTTTTTTTCCCTGGATAGTTCACAAACATTCCACTTCCCCCATTTCTGATCAAGGCCTGGTTCTTTCTTCTTAAACCTTTATTTCTGCAGGAACAAAAATGTATAGACCCCAGCCACCTATGTCAGGGTGATTGACTTAATGGAAGAGCTCTGATTGCCATTATTGCCCCTTATGTTTCTCCAGGGGGCGTGATAGACAAGGACCTGCGCCACTACCTCAACCTGCGCTTCCAGAAAGGCTCGGTGGACCACGAGCTGCAGCACATCATCCGGGACAACCTCTACCTCCGCACAGTCCCCTGTGAGTTACCTTATACTGATCCTCCTCCCTTTACACTCGAGTTACTTCCCTCACCTCCTTGGGTATTTCTTTCTTGTCAAGGCTGGATTATCAATCCAGCAAAGGGGGCAGCTGCAAAGGAGCCACAAACCTCCAGGGCCTCCAAAGCTCCAGGTTCCCTGTGTGTCAGTTTGCTTGTGGTAATATGATGAACTGCATAATTGTTTGCAATTATTAAGTCAGTCCCATGTTGCTGTGGGATTTCTAATAGACAATCTAAAAAAAATAATGGTCAAAATCTTCACAGCAGAGGCTGGGATACATTGACTTTTAGTACCTAGTGTGGGTCAAGAAAACACTGGAGGCTACATTTCACATAGTCCAATTAAATACACCATCCCCACCTCTTAAGCTCCCACTTCTTTAAAACCCCAGACCTCCAGCTTGTAATGCAGGTTCTTTTACCGCAGTTGACAAATCAAACCAGTCACTCACTTGTTGGTCCAGTACAATCTCCTGCTCCTAGATAAACAGTTTGAACATCTAGATTTGTGTGGCAACTGCACAAACTCAATTTGCTGTTGACTGTTTCATACAATCAAAAGCTCCAGACCAGGCCACCTTGAGTTGGGGTTGTTTTGTCAACTGTGCCACATAAAAAAAAAAAAAATCTAATTCTACAAAGTCAGAGCAAACCTGAGACCAGGTGGTGTTCTAGCAGAGGAGGACTGGTTCATTCTGGAGCTCCAGGAACAGTAATGAGCTGCTAAGCTGCTATGTATAGTCTGCTGTGTGCACTGACAAGTACTTTAGGGTAGCAGGGACATACAGAAGCAGAGATAGTGAGAGGAACTGGTTGTCAGTAGACCAGTGTGTGATTAGATACTTGCTTTCAATGTTGCCATATCCTGTTGGCTTCGCTCCCAAATGTTCTAGTTGATTAGCTGCTGGTGTGTTGGACTTGGGCTTGTCTGGAAGTTTGACTCTGTAAAATCAAGTTCTGACTACACCTCTGCCTCTAATTAGTTGTATTAACTGCTTAACAAGAGCACAGCGCTGAGCAGCTAAGTGCTCTGTGGACAATCAAAGATCAGATTTGAAGGTGTTGGTGTTTTCAGTTCAGTACAGCATTTCAAACTTAATGCTTATCTGGGGCTCCTGTGCCGCTTATACTGTATGTGTGGATGTGTGCATGTGCACCTTATCGGGCTTGTTAAGCCAACAGTGCTTATACAGGCTTAGACCTGCTGATGTTTAATCCACATCCTTCTGATTCATATTCCACTTGTTTGCGGAATATATGCTCATTGCCATCAGTCACTCGGTTGTGATATTAAAGGATGTCTGTTTGCGTGTGTGTGTACAAGCTCTTATCTGTGTATAGTGTGTGTGTTAGCCTAGCTGTGCCATTAGGCCCAGCTGTCTGGTGGCTAACTCTCCACTGAATCCTTAATGGAGGTGCATTCTTCAAGGCCAGGAGCAGGCGGATCTCACTGGAGCCACTTTTCCATCTCCCTCTCTGAACACAGCACAACAGCAGAAACAAAGAAAGCTATTTGTTTGCAACAGAAGCATAATTTTCTCTGATAACCACTCACAGAGCCACCACCGGAGAGGCACTGGAGATAGAGAAAGAGGTGAACAGTAAAGAGCGAAAACAAATAGAGGGAGAGAGAGACACAACAAGGAAAGGGCGGAAATGAGGGGAAGGCTTGATGATGGGACAGACTATGATAACCACGCGAGCAAATGGACTGCAGATAAACTGTTGCAGAGAAAGGAAGGTAAGGGGAGGTTAACTGGTGTATTAATGAAGCTTTAACAATGGGCCTCAGTGCTGCTGAAAGGAAGAGGCTTCCCCCTAATTTCCACTGGATCTGGCTGCATTGCGTTCTGTCGCTCTGTGCTGCTTCATCCCGCACCGGATCTGTCTGCGGATTGGCTTGTTGTGGTGCTGATTTATCATATAGGATATTGTTCTTTGCTCTTGAGCTTCTAAAGTAAATACGCTTCATAGTTAAATAGCTTTTTTTTGTCTGTTAATTGTGTTTATTGTTTTTATTTCCTACTTTGTTGTCTGCAGTCTACAAAGAAAGACTACAGTTAATGGTTACATGTAATTTAACGGTTACAGGAGACGGAATGCCGCCGGACTCAGTGGGAACACAGCCATTAACTAGACTGGCAGTCATCAGCTCCGGTGATCGGGTTGCAGACGGAACGCAACACAGTTAGTGTTCTGCCGGATTTTGCTACTTTGTGGAGATATGCTACATGTACCTTAGTAGCAAAGCTTATGGATTGACTAACCCCACCCCCATCCCTCACCCCAACACCTAAGCTCTTTGTGAAGGGAACATCTCAACTGTAAAATTTGTCAGAACACTCGATATGGTGGAAATTAGGGGTTAGTCATGACTGGGCTGGGATTGTTGCTGTATATCTGAACTGCTGGATGTGTGCATTTATATTCCATATACACATTTGTAAAAATGGAGGCATTTCCCCTCCTTTCCATTCTACACAGTATGTGGATCCATACTTTCAAAATATAATGTTTGTGTTGGTTTATGTGATAACATTGTTCTGGCATTGTCACCATGGCTCTGTTGAAAAGCAAAATCAAGATCACTAGAAACAATCCTGGTCAAATGAAAACATATGCAACCCTTTGGTACAATGTTTTGGAGCACTGAGAGACGTTTAGGGACACCGACAAGGAGACTAAGAGAGATCCTTTAGCAGTAGAAGTCTTTTGTTCCTTTTTCCAGTGCCGGAACATCTCCAGAAATCCCAGAACCTTTTTAGGAATTATCCTTCTGTGGTAACTCAAAATTGGAACATTGTGGGTGTGGTGTATGAATGTTAACACTTTGTAATAATTCTTTAGTATATTACTTGTGTGGTGTAGAAGAGAATTATTTAAGAATGTAATTATGTAAGAATGTTAACACTCTGTAATAATTTTTTAGTATATCACTAGCGTGGTGTAGAAGTGAATCATTTACTGCTTGCAAACCAATGATGGTAAGATGATGTCATGGGGTAGGACTGGATAAGTCTGACTTCTTCCTACTCCATTCAAGCATGTACTAGGTATAAGCAAATTGATTTTGGATTAGCATTTGTTGGATATGTGTAAAAGTATGTGTGTTGACATATCAACTGTCTTTACATGCTTGAAAGAATAAATCAAATCAAATTAAATCAAAATGTCTGCTGTGAAAAAGGTTAGTTAGTTTCCTGACTAGCCTTGAAAAAAGCCTTTTTACTAATCAATTCAGCCATCATGGTCTTTCAAAGGTAATTAGCTGATCATCTTTTTTTAGTGCTTTTTTAGTTTAACTCCCTGGAGTTTTTTGGACAATTTAGCCCACTTTATACCTGGCATTAGCATAAAATCTGCATCTGGGTAAGAAAAAATGTGTGATAGCTAAAGGTTTAAGTGAATGAAACTGACAGATACACTGAAAGCTGGTGAGATCTACGATAAGTGATAAATCTAAGGCAGACAAAAGGACGAGAGCAAAAAAAGAATAATAAGGGATAGAGCTGAAGTAGTTCATCACAGCAATTTAAGCATAACCAGTGAGTACTGAAGAAAAGACATTTTCCTGGGGCTGAAGGCTGATGGGCAGACAGTGGGAGAGTTACTGCCACTCATACCAATCGTGGCACGTGGATGGAGTCAGCCAGGGCTGTTAAGGCTGTGCCAGCTCTTAGATAAATTGCCTGGTTGAAATCCAAGGTCAGAACGTTAAAAGCCTGAGCCCATGTGAAATCAGGCCCGCCTTCTGGTAATCCACATAGATTTGATGGTGGAGATGAAGAGCGGAGAGGAATAAGTGTGTGTAGACTAGTCGTGGCGCCTAAATGGGCTATAGTGATAGAGAATGGATAAATAATTTAGGTAAAATTAAACCGGAAAACGTGGCGATTACATATAGAGAGTTGTATAATGTGACTTTCTCATAGTTTCAGACACACTCATTTGTAGTGTGTGTACTTTCATCGGAAGACTACAGAGCCATGCAGAAAAATAACTCATTTCTGAGTGTTTGACTCAGCGAACATGGCTTTATAGTGGAAACTTAGACATTTACAGTAAATAACTCAAAGGGTGGACACAAAGATTAAAAAACACAAGTGCCTCTCATGTTTTCCCCCCTGACACTAAATCAAATACAACAGTAATAATATAGTAATGTCCATTGGATGTATTGTACTCCATGTTTTGCCAAAAGGTAAAATGATGATGATTCCTAAGTGTCTGAATTCTCAATTTACTGCACAATACAGCTGTTTCCACTTAAAACAAAGCAATAGCTGGTTGTGACCACTCATCACTGAACAAATTTTGGTCAGTAATTTTTCAAAGGCCTGCCTTTATCTAGAAATTCACAAAAGAGGATTAAAGGAAAGTCTGAGACTCTACCTAAATATAAGCAGCAGACGTGTTTTTTTTCTCCATTTTCAAACCTGTTATTGGTCTAAAGACCCCTCAGATGGAAGTTATGACCCTTCTGGGGCTCCCAGCCCCCAAACTGTGAGACACTCTAATAAACTTTTTAGCTTTTAATATGTACATAGGAAACGTGTATCAGTCAACACAAAACAGATTTTGGACTATGACTATGATTATAGTACATGTAAAAGTGTTTTTATGCATGGAATCTATGCACAACATTTATAGTAAACTTTTACTGAGAACCATTTAATTTAACCAGAGATAAACATCATAAAAATCCAGTATTGACCTAAAACAGCCCTGCTCACTGATGTGCAGGACTGGCCACAGTGGTACAATCTAGTAATAACTGAAAGCAATCCATCAACATGCCGGTAAAGAGCCTTTTCTTTGAACAGAATACATCACCGAGCCCTGATGGCTGCTGTTAACTTTCTATCATGATGCTTTTGTGAATGCTGGCTCCGCTGATAACAGCCTAACTGCCATGTAAAGATTTCAAGCAGCGGTATGGTAGCAGACAAGAGACCCTTAAACAGAACACTACAGTGAA